CGGGCCGGGCCCGCCGGGCGGGCGCTCAGGGCATTTGGGGCTGAGGCGGGGGAAGGGGCTGAGGGCTCGGGCTGCTCCCTTCGGGTTTGCTGTCGGCCCCCCGCGCTGGGGCTGACGCCTGGGAGGCCTCAGACCCCCGGGGGCGGTCGCGCTCCGTGGGGATGCCCGGCTGGCCCGGCCCGGTGCTGGGCTGGCCTGCAGGGACAGGTGCTCTTGGCCTGAGGGCTTTTCAAGTAATTTCCCCTCTCTATCTTATCTTTTTTTTTTTTTTTTTTTTCGTTAATGATAGCACTAGGAGATGTCTGTGAAGGTATGTCAGAGTAAAATGATGATGTCCAGTCATTCGGTTTGCTCTTTGCTTGTAGATCACTTGTTGTGAACTGGCAGTGTGGAAGAAGCTGAATGAATGGAACAGTCAGGGCAGAAGGGAAGTTTGCCTTTCATGCTCCCCGCTGGCCACAGGACACAAACAACACTGTGCCTCTGAAGAGACCTGGCATTATCGGAGCTGTGTGTTCTGAGGGACTCTGAGCATCTCTGAAGGTAAAAAAGTGCTTGGTAGCAATCTTTCCTAACCTTTTGTTACCCTGAATATCGAATGGACAGTCCATCTTGGTGCTGTTTCCAGCCCCCTACCCATATATGCATCTTCTTGTAGGCCTAATCCCTTTTTGATTGCTAGCATATTTGCTGAGAGAATGCTGGCAAATGCAGCAAGGACTCTTTTGTGATGTCACGTAGAAGGAGTTTTTTAAATGTGGTGACCCCACTGCTGGCTGAAAGGGGTGACCGCAGCAACAAGATAAAAATATGCATGTTTTTGTATTCCCTTCTACCATGGTACAGTAACTTCTTACAAAGACTGTTCAGTCTTCAGTTGATTTTTTGCCAGAATACTTGTTTTTGTTCCGTTCTCTGTTTCTGTTTTTTCTTCCCCGACTCTACTGACTTGTCCCCTTTGTTTTTCCCTTCTTTGAAGTGCATGCAATCTAGTCATTCTGTTGAGTATTGCTTCTGGTTTGGCCTTTACATTCTCTTTCTTGAGCTTTTTTCAAAAAGTTTCTTTTTTGAAAATTTTAAAAAGCTTTATGTCTCACTTCTTTTAAAAAATGAATATAATTGCAGTATCTCATTAAGCACTTTTGCCTGTTTACAATCACCTAGTGTTATCTTAAATTTGTTGCATAGCTTAGTTTCAGCTGTAACTTGCCTGAAATAGCTTCTCCTGTTAGACAAAAAAGTGCTGTCAGAGCTATATGAACGAACCTGTTAAAACAATGAAGCCTCTTGTTGGCAGCCTGTGGATAAAAAGCATTTTTATTTGTTGTCAATCTTTATGTCTTTATAATTAGTGTCATCTTTGGTAGTACTGATGTTATTTTTTCATAAGTAAGTTTATTCTAAAGCACCTCCTACACATTGTTCTGCAGAGAATCTTTTGCAGAGCATGGCATGAATCCCATAAACACTCAGTGTGTTACTTCATGGACTTCTCTGGTAGCTATTTCTTACCGACTGGGCTCACTGCTCCCTTTGAGCTCAGCCTGGGGCTGGCAGGATGCTTCTCTCTTTGGAAAGGACACCTCATTTAAGGGGGAGTGTGTTTCCTGTAAATGAAGATGCAGTGGATATGCACAGTGAATGGGCAGGGTAGTCAAATCTACTCCACTGGCAGGAAAAACTGGTTCAAGCTTTGCATGAAGTGTTGTAGAGTTCTTCATCTTTTCTGTAAGTAGTTGAAGTGTTAGGCAGAAGCACTGAGGGGACCTTTATTGTAAGGAATTGGGGGCCCACTGTCAGGTCCATACTGAAAGTCATGTTGGGACAAGTGTTGGGACATAAAGCCACACAATATATTTTGGGGATCTCTAGCCCCCTTGGCTGCTCTCTACTTGTGCCTGCAGTTACATGACAAAGATTGAGTGTCAGTAAGTTTCCATGTCCCTTTTACCAAGTGGATAATGACTGGGCAATTTGCTGTTTGGTGATTAAGCCTTCATTTTGCTTATGAGCTGTTTTTGGTTGCCTGCTGACGTCGACTCTGCCGTGTTCACAGCATGCCAGCACACAGAAGGCTGGTCCAGAAATGTGTGGTTGTTTTTTGATGGTGATCTGGTAGGGATACTGCCAGCACCAGTGTTCTGCACATGGCACCAGGGATATGTAGCTGAAAGTAAGATTTTTGGGCCAGTTCTTTTCTTTTCTCTGCGTTAGGTATAAATTTGGTAGGGCTTTGTCACTGTCAGCATTTATATTGAAAGGTAGTGACAGCAGATCAGTGGCCCAATGATGTTCTGGTTACATTCTTTTTCACCAGACACTACTCTGAGGATGGAGCTTGTGGGTTGTTGTGATCCTTCCACCCAGAGAGAGAGAGCCCTTTCTAAAGAGAGGAGTCTGTTGCAAAGGGTTCCTCTTGCATTAGATGTGATTGCAATATCGTGGAAAATCCAGACCAGCCTGCTCAGCAGCCTGTTCTGCTGCTTGCTCTGAGTGATCTGCTCAGCTCTGAGCTCAGCTGGGCAGGAGCATTGGCCCTGCAGGTGCCACTTGCCCTGTTTGCTTCGAGGGCTGTGTGAAGGGGTGGGGATCCCTCAGTTAACTCAGTAGGGCTGAATGGTGAGGTCAGATCTATACAGCAATTTGCTCTTCCTATCCCATATCCTGTGTACTTGGAGCAAGATGCTGGGATATTGAAGGAGAGTGGAAGTACATAACCAGGAATTAAACACTGCACAGAGAATTTGCTACCAAGTCTGGGCTTGCTTCTATGTTTTCTATATAAATAAACCTGGATACAATGTGTTCTCCCTCTCAATATTTCTATTATCTTATACAAGTTCACAGCTTGTAGATTATTATTTAAGTACAGTTGTGGTTTGCAAACTTTGCAATGTTTTAAGTGGATGTGTTTTGTCAATTCACCACAAATCAGTTCTATTCTTTCTCATTGCAAAGGATGCAGTTCAAGGATGGATATTGCAGTGTGCTTCATTTAACATGGAAATGAAGCATAGGAAATGATATGGGAACACATAATTTCTCCTCCTTGTTAGCCAGTTTCAGACAAATAGAGGCACAGATGGAGAGGAAAAGAAATAAGAATGGTATTGTTAACAGCAAACATTGATGGCTTTGAAATTCCCTTCTTGAATTTGTAGTTTGTTTCTTAGTTCATAATTTATTGCTGACAAGTCTGACTTGAGGCACTGCACTGTTTTTTCCTTGTGAATGCTGAGGTTTAAGGCACTTGCTGTTTCCAGTTGTGGTTCCTTCAGTTGCAAAGAAAGTAGACCAAAATATTTTGATCAAAGTGTGTGGGAGAAGGGAGGTAGAGTAAGCATTAGACAAGAGCTGATTAGATAGTTGCTCCTGCCACCAGCCTACCTCTAGCTGCTGAACTAGTTTCAATTTATTTTTTTTTTTCTGGCAAGTGCCTCAAGCCTGATTCATAATAATCCATACATTTTATCAAGCACAGAAAGTGCATGAGAACAACTGGCATCTGAGAGGAGTCCTCTGGTGTATTGCAGCCACAAAATATTTCTTATATTACCAATCAGTTACTCATTAAAGTCATGGTATTTTTCTTTCCCCCATGCCTCCTTTGACCCTGAATCTATGCCATTTGGGAGCACAACCCCACAAAGGAGGGCATAAAAGACCCCTAAGAGAGGGACACAGAGCCAAGTCCTTGTGGGAGCATATGAAGGCCTTTCAGTTTTGTCACATTGTTCCAATGGAACAGGGCACCCCCTGCATTGTTCTAGGTTTTCAAAAATACCATGGTATATATTGTGGCATTATTGTTGCATTTATTATGATTTCCAAACTTGTCTTCCAGTGCTTCCTTCATGTTCTGTCTCTAGTGCCTAGATACATTTCTCTCTTCCCTAAAGGCATTCCAGCACCTTGGCACGGCTGTCCTTTGTGAGCAGCCTGGAAGGGCTTTTTCATCGTGGTTCTTATCTTTGCTGTAAACACAAGCTGTGAAAGCCGTATGGGGTGGCAGGCTAAAAATAACTTCTACCCTTGGTAATCTCTTAAGGAAAGCTAAGTCTTCTTCCTGGGTGTTGTGGATGGAGTCTCTGACGTTCCCTACAATCAGGATCACGAATGGCAGCGAGCTGTGTCATCTCTGGGGATGAGTTGGTGTTGTTCTGTCAGTTGCTGTTTCAGGACGAGCAGCCAGTGCAGTGTGCCTGGGAGAGCACACTCCAGGATATTATCCCTGCTCGGAACTCACAGATCCTGTGAGTGCTGGCCAGCCCTGTAGATTTGCTCAGTGGTGCTTTGATTCTAGCAGGTAGGAAAAGGAAGGTGTGCACATCCTGAGGGGACCTTGCAGAAGGGGGATGATGTCCCGGGTATGGCACCACTGGGATAACACTTCCAGAAGTGTTGCTCACTTGTCCCTGTGTTCCCAGCGAGGGCGCCATGATGGATAACCGGTTTGCTACAGCGCTGGTGATCGCCTGCGTGCTCAGCCTCATCTCCACCATCTACATGGCAGCCTCCATCGGCACTGACTTCTGGTACGAGTACCACACCCTGTCCCCAGCTGAGAACGTTAGTGAAGCCAGTAGAATCATCTGGGAGGAGTTTGTCAGCAAAGATGCGGATGAGAAGACGTACACAGATGCGCTCTTCCGGTGCAACGGCACGGTTGGATTGTGGCGGAGGTGCATCACTGTACCCAAAAACTCTCACTGGTACAGCCCACCAGGTATCTCCAGAGCAATTATCACTTCCCTAGATTCCCTGGGGTGCTGTGTGCTAACTTCCTCAGAACAGATTCATGCCATTTTGTTTCTCCAGAAGGCTTATTTCTAGCTTTTGTTTTGGTTGGTTGGATTTTTAATAAAGACAGTGCAGATTTTTAAAGAAGCAAAGGGCAAAATGGTCTGTGGCTGTCAGTGCTGCAGTTTCTGGTTTTGAGACATGATACTTGATCTAAATTTAGTCTTACAAGCTTGATTTTTATTTTGCCTCAGCTGTCCAGTTGGGGATATATTTATAGTTGCTCTACCAGTTACTGTCTTTTTAGGATAGATCCTGGGATCCAGCAATGGAATAAAGACACTACTTTATCAAGGAGACATTCATTCCTTTTAGCTAGGCATTCACTTTGTTCATGTCGCAAATATCCCTCCATTGCATCAGCACACCTTGGCTTCTTTGAATAGATACAGAATGAAATATTTGTATTATCTTTTTAAATTGTTGGGGGATAAAATGTGAGGTAAACAACTATTTTAACTGCTTCAAAGTCAATTTTGGGTACTTACTCCATGTGTGAACTCCTTCATTTTGACCCCTCTTAAGTATGTTCTTTAAACTACATTTTGTGGAGAAAAAGACATACATAAAATACTTTTTTTTTTTCCCTCTCATGAAAATACTTACTTTGGAAGACACTTCAACCAGTTCTGCTCAATAGTATTCTCAAAGTGAAATCTGAGGTAGAAGCTTAGTGTAAAGAAGCAAATCCTTCATGTTCTTTAAATAGGTCTTTCTGTCCCATTTTTGATTTGACTGTTAGTACAAGACCACATTCTGCATATGGAGATAAGCACACCTTAGTTAGAAAACCCTGAGCTCGAGAGTATGTGACAACATAGTTGAGCATCATATGCTGCCACATTACTTTGCTAATCTGTTACACATGGCACAATTATCTGTGGATAATCCAGGGAAGCTTGAAGATTCTGCATGTTGGGATGCTATCCCTTAGTGCAGCACCTCAAAACAGACACATAGTGCCAACTACATCATGGGAATGCATCTGCAGATCTGTTTGGAGCGGTATTTTTTTTTACAAATGGAATTCTGAGGAATTTCCTAGCTCAGATCATTGGGAGAGTTTGAAAGGGGAGAAGGAAGGTTGGGGAGAGACATCTAATGGCAATTTTTTTCTTATTTTCCACCCCCAGAAACTGATATGACTACAAACTGCATCAGTTTCTCCCTCTCTGATCAGTTTGTAGAAAAGTACATAGAGCCTGGAAATCACAACAGTGGCACGGATTTGAATCGGACTTGTAAGTGTCTTTCTTTTCTGGCAGATAACAAGTAGAGTTAAAAAAAGTTGTTTCTCAAATTCAGTCACTAGTGAGGAAAGCTTTTGTCTTTCTTGGTCTTGCTCACCATTTATTATTACAGTTGGCAGTAGGTCAAAGTTTAAAAGGAAGACATAGATGTGTTAGCAAGGGTTTTGCCTATGAATGCAGTATAGGGCTGTGTGAGCTAGCAAATTAGGTTATTTCTGTTTCAATGGAATCTTTGATCCTTCTTGACTATGTAGCTAGAATGTCTGTTGAAACTGAAACAGCAGGGTAGAAGGGAATGTAAGGTGGTGGGAGATCTTTTTCTAGCCGATCTTTAGCAAATTTGACTTGTTTGTTTCTTTCACATGCAGACCTGTGGCGATTGCAGTTTATCCTGCCCTTTGTCAGCATCGGCCTCATGTGCTTTGGGGCTCTGATTGGGCTCTGTGCTTGTGCCTGTCGCAGCCTTTACCCGGCCATTGCCACCGGAGTCCTGCATTTCCTAGCAGGTAAGTGTCCTGCCATCCTCCTCCAGAAGCTCAGGAGTACCCCTGGAGCACTCTCTCCGTGGGTCAGCTCACTGCTTTGCTGCTTCCTTCCCCAGGGCTGTGCACGCTGGGCCTTGTTGGCTGCTACGTAGCTGGGATTGAGCTGCTCCATAGGAAGCTGCCTCTGCCGGAGGATGTGAGGGGTGAATTCGGCTGGTCCTTCTGCCTCGCCTGTGTGTCAGCACCTTTGCAGTTCATGGCAGCTGCTCTTTTCATCTGGGCAGCTCGCACCAACAGGAAGGAATTCACCCTCCTGAAAGCCTACCGTGTGGCATAAGTGCTGCTACTGCAGTCTGGGCTTTCCATGTCACAACCTCTTGTCCACCAGCCCTTACTACTCTTTTCTTTTAGTCAGAGTTTTATCATGTACTGCATGCTTCTTGCCAGTCAAGACAATTTAGCCTGCAGGCCCTGAAGACAAAGACCTCTGGGCTAAATGACCAAAGCCTGCCAGAAGTCTGCAGAACTTGAACAGGTTTTTTAATTGGGTTTTTTTAAGAATTGTTATTATTTTTTAAGCTACGTTTGGTTGTTGACAGTGCCCCTTAGTTAGGTGTACATGCCTCTTCCTAATTTTATTACCCTGTCAGCCTGGAGGAAATAGAAGTGGGGTGGAAGAGAGACAAGAAGAGGTGCAGGTACGCAGGAATAGGAACCTCAGTGCACAAATAATACCTAATAAAGAGCTGTCTGCTGTGTGACTGAAGCAGGCAGTACCTACAGGGAGCAGCCAAGAGAGATGAGGGAATTCAGAAACCTCTGTTCTGGAAACACGGTAGCTAAATCAGTCTGTAGCTGAGCTCTGGGTGTCCTATCATCACTAGTTTGCTTTGTTTTGTGGTTTTTCTGCCCAAAACTGCTGGAGGCAGAGCAGGCCCCTGTGGCAGTGCCTATAAGCACACTCTCCTGAAGGGACACTCTACACTTGTTTCTGCCAAGGAGTGGGATAAGATGGCCCTCGTGGAGCTCTGTCCTGCTGTAGCTCCACTGCTTCCAGGACCAGTCTAGTTTGGTATCTGCACTACATGTGATTGTGCACTCTAATCTTAATTTGTGGTGCTTTTGCTTGATGTGGAATAAGGCTTTCTTTTCTCTCGTTGAAAATGACCTCCTCACAAGTTTTTTCGTTTTAATTTGGTTTAGTGTATGTGTGTATATATACATATATAAACTTAACTTTTTTTAAACCTCACTTGTTTTACCTGTATATCACACAACAGGGTTTTTTTAAAAGGTGCTGCTCTTTTCCCGTCTTGTTTAAATTAAATAATTATAATAGTAATAATAAAGACTCGGAAATTTTCAGCATTGCATGAATCTGATGGGAGGGTGAGGGAATTATCTAGAGTGGATTTTACTTGGGGAAAGAATAACCAGTGTCTAGATCACTCTGTTTTCATGGAAATGTCACCAGAAACAATGACCTTAGATTGGATTTTTTAAACTAAATTCTTGAGCTCCTGCTAATTTTAAATTTTCTCCTCATCATTAGTGATCACAACATCCCATAATTTCTAATTAGTTCAAAAATGTTATATTTATTCTAAATTACTGTAATTCTAGCCAGACTGGGTGACATGTCATATCTAGAAAACAGTGTTCCAAGACTGAACTGCTTCATTCTGAGGCCTTAACTCACCTTGTTTCCTTACTCCAGGCTTAATAAAAGAAGTATGCCTTAGGAGAAATACTTCCTGACAAAACAAGTGATGGCAAGGATTCTGTGGGATACTGGTTGATGAGAATGACACAGAAAGAGGCATTTTTATCTCATGGCTGTTTTTCTATTGTGCCTTCTTGCTTTTTTTTTTTTCCCATAGGTGTTTCTACCCAAGCTATGTTTGCTGGGTCAGCAAACAGCCCTAATCATGATTTCCCCGAAGATCAGGTATAACTGCTTGTGTAATTTCTTTTGGTTTTTCTTCTCAAGTGTGTGATAGGGCTCTTCTGTTGTCATCATTGGAGCCTTTACAAAAAAAAACAAAACAAAACAAAGATGATCATGAAAACCAGAATCACTGAAAAAGCAGTGGCAGGCCATTCAAGATAATCCTCTTTCTCCTGCTGTTGAGTAATTTTTTATTTTTCATCCTTAAACAGCTTCTTTCCTTCCCTACAATGTCTGGGGCCAGTTGTAACCTCGGGTGTGGTACTTTTGTGCAGTATCTGAGAGTAAATGAAAATCTGTGCTGCCTGATCTGTACTGATAGGGTGCTTTTTCATAGTAATTATCCTGACTTAGATAGATAAGGCCTAACTGTTCAGCTTGTCATGTTCCTCATTTGCTAGAATTACTAGGGCACGCAAGCCTCAGCTTGGGTCAAAAGGACTGAAGTTGCTATTCTGCAGTTTGAGAGGAAACACTGCTGCTGATTTTATCTAGTACAGTTTATGGGGTTTCTTTTTTTTTTTCAGGAGCTGGCAGAATAATTGTATTGTGTGATTTTAATCTGAACAATGGAAATCCCATGCCCTCACTCTCTCCTCTTGTATGGGACACTTATTTTTCTGAAGTGTAAATCTCAGTTTTCAAATGTTGGCTTTCTTGCTTCCAAAAGAATTGTTATAGGGAGAAAAGGGGATGTTAGAGGTGCTGTCAGTTCTTTCTTTTAAGTACCAGCAAAACTAAGATTGCCTACTTGTGTCTGTGCCTGTGACAAACGTTTCTGGTTTTCTCTGCCCAGAAAAGAAGAGGCTTTAATTGGGCCCTAGTTTGGACCATTTTAACTAAAATGAGGGTCACCTCTCAGATTTGGTGGGGGTTATTTTCTGTTTTGCCCTTGTGTAAAGATTTCTTCATCAGAGTGGATTTTGGTGAGAGGCAAATCTGGGGTGGTGGATCTGTGTATTGCTATCTTGTGTAACTGTGTTTTGCTCAAGGTGAGCAAAAGGGAGCAAGTATTCTTGGACTGCTGGTTTGGGTCCAGTAAATGGCATTGGAAGACAGAACAACAGAGGTTGTTGAACAGATACTGAGGATTAGTTAATTCTGTAAAAAAGGTGATTAAGCACACTAACAATGAGACACAGAGTGTGTAACACAGGCCCTTCACACTGACAGAGCCTCATGCCTCATTCAGAGGCTGCTTTCAAGAGAAGCTTGAGGCATGTGTGTATGTTTGTGGTCACATACATATGTGCAAGTGCAGACACCCTTGCTCAAAAAAGCAAGAATTGCTTTGACTCAGGAGGATAAAAGGCCATAGTTGTGTTCCTCAGTCTTTTGTGGTCTGACCATGGAATGTTTGCTGGTACTGGTTCAGTGCTGAAGGTAGGGATGGGGCAGATAAGGTCAGGTGAAAAGAGGTGGAAAAAAGTGGCTATTATGTGTCTGTGTGTCCAGGGAAAATGGCACATACCTCTACCACAGAATCACTGGGTTGGAAGAGACCTTCAAGATCATCAAGTCCAACCAATACCCCAACTAAACCATGGCACCAAGTGCCCTATCCAGTCTTTTTTAAACACATCCAGGCATGGTGACTCCACCACTTCCTTAGGCAGACCATTCCAGTATTTTATCACTCTTTCTGTGAAGAACTTTTTCCTAATGTCCAACCTAAATTTCCCTTGGCACAACTTAAGACACAACACTATTGTATGGGCTGGTGAAAGTGAATAGAAGAGATATCAAAGGAAAAGGAAAAGCAAGAGGAGGAATCTGGAATGAGTGTAAGAACTGAGGACTCTTGGCACTACATGGGAGCAAACTCCCAGGCCTCCAGCATGAACTCCCCATGTGGTATTGTGTAGTCAGGATAGCAAAGGCCAGCTGCTGCTCCTGCACCCCTCACAGCTCAGTCACAGTGGTGACTTAAGTGGGTGCATTGTCCTCTTGTGCTTATGAGAAGCTCCTAAAGGTTCTGTCCCCCAAATCTGAGCTCGGCAAGCTGCATTTCAAACATGCCACTGTATGACGTTGTTTCTTCCTCACAGGCTTGGGTTTGTTTTCCTGCCGACTCTGAAACCTCTGTGAAAGCAGGACTAGCAGAAAGCTTCACAGATCAATAAAGTTTTTAGTCTAGGTAGCTGCCTCTTACTCATTTTCTTCAAATGAATGTTTTCCCCATTCTCTCCCCATGCTCCAGCAGTTCTGAGAAAGGGACTGATCGATGAAGCTGCCAAGAGGAGGTTTATTACTGTGTCTGTAAGAAGAGCTCCTGCTGGTATTAGAGATGGCTGAAAACAGAACAGTCAATCCCATTTCCTTACTTTAATGAAAAAGTAAGGAAATAAAAAGGAGTATAGAGCAGATACAAAATACTGGTTTATTGTGTAAAGATGACAGTTTGCCACATACAAAAGTAATGATGTATTTTGGGTGCAAGTGGTAGGAGAGTTTGGGATGACCCAAGAGGACCTCCTTAATCTTGTCATGTCTTTTCTCTTGATCTGGTTTTCCTTCTGGATCATGCTGGCCTGGTGATCCTTTCCTTAAAGCAGGTCTTTTGCAGTCTTTGCTATGGTGATAATGAATGTCTCCTCTCTCCTCATCTAAAATGTTCTGAAGTATTTTCTTGAGAAAGGTCTTTGGATTTTGGTTGGGTTTTTTTGTTTTGTTCTGATTTTTGCTGCATAGGGTTGGCACCAAGTTGTGTACCAGCTTGCAGTCAGTCTCTTGCAATGTGTGATTCAAGACAATGACTTCTGAAAAACACTTTCCCACTTTCTAGCATTGTGTGTACTCAGCCAGCACCTGTCATTGAAAGGAAAATTCTGAAATGTCAGCAGCTTGTTATCATTACATCTCAGATTGACTATCCACCCCTATTTGTGTGTATTTCCTGCTTGAGTGAATTGTGTGTCTCAGCTGAGAGGGTGACATTTTGAAGCTGCTTTTTTTCTCATTTCCTCAGGAATAGCTAGTTTCTGCTATAGAACTTTATAAACTGGTTTTAATAGGAAAGGATCAAAAGTTTGCATGCATGCTCATGACTTTCCTATTGCTGGAGAATATTGCCCTATGTTTTTAAACTACAGCTTTCAGGACTAGAGAGTGCCAAACGAGGCCTTTGTTAAGGTCATGGTTCAGATATGTAGAAGTGGAAGAGTGGATCCTCCATAATTGGGAGACTGTACAGATGTCTGGATTACAGCAATAACAGCCATATGCAAAATTAACACTTAACAAGCACTTGTGTGCCTACTGATACATGCCAAGCCTTTGTACAAACCAATGAACACTGAAAAAAACCTGAAAGTAATAATATATTCCACTCCTTTGTCTCCTCCTTCCTTCTAAATTTACACCTTTTAAAAATAGCCAGGGGCATTGTTTTATTTATTCCTCAGATAAGAGCCATGAGTGTCAGATGTCTCTGCTCCATGCTTTCTGTGTACAGACAAGGGTAAAGATAATGGCTGATTTTTGTAGGGGGTCCAAGCATCTCTTTTTGCATTGGGCTTCCTGAGGTGAAGATTGGAAATCTTCAAGATAGAATCTTTTGTTTAATGAGAATTGTTACTTAATCAGAATCCTCTTTAAATAAAGTTAGGGATCTTTTTTAATACTCTTTTTTTTTCCTCACCTTCCTCACTTCTTTCATATGCCTCTTTTAAAGTCTCTCTTACATTAAAATGTTTTTGAATATTATATTTTGGAAGCTCAGCCATGGGGAGTTGCATTGGTTGTGTTAGTATTGAATGTCCTTTGCTCTGTGTCAGGCAAGTGTGACGAGGGCCTGTCCCAGCAGTGTCCAGCCACCATGTGCCATCAGTATTTGTGCTCTTGGACTGAGCTACAGGGTCAGCACTGCAGTGAATTTTGGACTCTTTTTTCATCCTCTGAGGCCAAGTACAGTTTGCACCTTTAGGTGATTTCATTTTTTTGGGAAATTTCTCTACTGAGCCAGGTAGCTGGCACTGTTGGCTAAGTGACCATGACAATGCCTTTTTACATTAATTGGTTTCCATGTGAATTCCCTGAGAACCTTTCTCATTTTCAGAGGATTTGCCTGTGGCAAACACATCTAAGAGCACAAAAGGTGGCCACCTGAAGTGTTTAATGTTGATTTCATTGTTGATTGAATCACTGGGTTGGTGGATTTTGGAACACTGTCTGGGTGAGAGCAGCAGTGTGCTGGACTGGCAGTGCAGACTGGGTGCTAATTTTCTGTGGTTCCTTAACTCTGCCAGAGCTTTTCTGCATGCTGGTGATCTAGCTAGCAGATGCTGGAGAGCTGGTGCCACAGACTTTCCAAATCCTACCTGGGTCTCAGCCTTGCACTGGACAGTGCTCCCTCACCCACTGCTAATTTCCTAATTTAAATAAACTGCTTTTGTAGGTGGTTCTGTGGTCCCAGTGACTTTACTCAAGTAATTTCTCCAGCCCTCATAAAATTGCTTTGATTAAGAAAGGGGTGGGGTTCTTGCCCACAAATCACATCTGCTTTCTGGGGCTGTAGCACTAGTTTCTTTTGCAAACAGATCTCTTTTGTCTTGTGCTGAAGTGACCCATTCAACCAGCTAGCCTTGATTTGCATTTTGACATTGACACAAAACAGCAGCTGTGGTGTAGAACCATGGTGTCTGCCCAGTGCTGGGACTGCTGGGGTTCACTAAAGGTCTTGGAGTTCTGGGATGTGGTTACCCATCCACAGCTAAGGAGGATGTCACGAGCAGTGTCAGTAGCACAGTGCTGCTGGCCCCGGTGTCCCAGTGCACAACTGGGAGGTGAGGCAGGAGAAGCTGCTGAATTGGCTCAGGCTGCAGTGGGACATGAGCAGTCCTGGAGAGGGTGTCCCAGGTTCTGGAGCAGCTTCACCATTCTGCTTGAGCTGCCACAGATCTGCTGGGAACAGCACTGGGACAGCTGCATCAGTGGTGTGAGGGATGGACAGTGTGGACCACACTGGGATTTCTTTTGTGCACCTGCCAGGGGTTGAAGGGGAGGCTGGAGCAGCCAGGGCTGTCCTCTACTGGGAGCACAAGGAAGTGTGCAGCTTTGTGGGGAGATGAAGTCAAACCTGTTTTGCAGCAGATAAGTGTGCTTTACCTTCAGCTGCCTTTGTGACCTGACAGGAGTGGCATCATCCAAGTGGCAAACTTGTTACTCCCCTTCTGTGTCTCCTTGCTTCCTTCTCCCAGCTCCTGTATATCCCCTCACTGATTGTCCCCTCCATGTTCTCTCTCTTTCACCACAATAAATGAACTAGTTACTCACTTCAGAGGCATCATCCTTGGAAGACCTTAAATCTG